TTTTTTTTTCATTTTAATGAATGTCTGTAATAAATCTAACTGAGAACTTCTGTAATTCTCAATTATATTGTCAGCATGCACACAGTGATTTTAGCTATCTTTATATATGATGTACCTCTTTATAATATTTGTAGTTTTCTTCAAATATTTCAACATTTAGCCTTTGAGAATTGTACTTTAAACCTTTTTCTTATCTTCAGAGGGTTTGTCCTGCTTCCTCATTTTTCTGGCATGGTTTGAAAAATCTTGTCCTGTCCTAGAAAATTAGGATTTATTTTTACAGATGATGCACAGAGTGTTTTGTAATCGCGGATTTTCAAATGCAGTGATATATGTGTTTGTCTCAGGAAATAGAGCTGTTCAGCTGTTCACACAGATCTAAAAATCATGACTGTGTCTCTCACCCAGGTCTGAGAAGTTACTTGAGGAGACCATGAAGTACATAGAGATTTTAAAGAGCGCCTACACAAAGGGTCATCCAGTCCCCAAGTGCCGCACCGAGGAGAGAACCTTCAACTCTATCAAGTCAGTAGCAAACATTCAGAATACAGATTCATTCATAATAAACACCATCGCAAGTCGCTCAGTTTGTCTGTTGGTCCACCACTTTGGTCCAGAAGGATTTCCGTAAATCTTTCGTGGTCTCCTCCGGCCAAACGTTACCTGATTTTTCTTCTAGTCATAGTTCTGCTGCGCTCTGTCAACATTATCCTTATTTTATTTAACTATCATATTTTCAGATCAGTTTATATCTTAGTAACATCCTGACTGGAGATCAAGTCACTTCAACAGCGTTATCAAAATTAGAAAAGAAAAAACTAACCAGCTCTGTAGTCGGATTAGATTCGTTAGATTATATATTTTGTTTTTTGGTTATTTTTTTTAAATGGTTGATTTAAGCCATGTTTTTAATTAATTTTTAAGGCAGATGTATTTGACAAATGACAAATACATCTGCCTTAAAAACCTAATACAAATCAGCCTGCAGTATAATGGCCAACATGATGTTAATTAATGTAATTCATGGATCTCATGGATCGCCTATGATAAAGACTACTAATCATCTGTATAACTTTTTGTTACTCATCTTGTGGCATTATGTCAGTGCCTGCAGAAAAAGGAAAATCTGTCAGTCAATTAAGCCGCGGTTCATCAAACTGTCACTTTTATTGTGTATTTTTTAAAACGTTATAATCAAGATGTTTTGACTCTATGAGGCTTGTCCTTTATATTTCATTTTCTACTCGTACATGAGCTGTTTAATTTTGAAAGCAAATGATTGAACATTAAAGGTAGTGCTTTTCCTGACTGGAGTGATGGATGACTCAGAGTGACTCATTGTGACTCACTCTGCCTCTGCTCCAGTGTCATACGGAGCTAACAGCTAAGTGACTGTGGCGGTGACTCATTCATCAGTTAATTGTTTGCCTCTCCGTGATGCTGACTGTCACTTTTGAAGCTGTTTCTGAATGGTGTTTTTTATGTTTGTTTGTTTGTTGTTGTTGTTTTGCTCCGCAGGATCAACCCCAACCTGACACTCAATGACCTGATACTGTACGTCACCCGAGGCATCAACCTCCCAGCTCCTTCTGGTATTGAAGTCATCCCCATCTTTGAAATTACCAGGCAGTAATCTGTCAGATCGCTGTGTACTGACACCTAGCTTCTCTCTCTCCACAGGTGTCTCTGCTAATGATCTGGATGCCAGTGTAAAATTTGAGTTTCCTTTTCCCAGCGCGGTGAGAATCTTTCACATTCACTCGCTGTGGACGTTTCAGTCCGTGTATGTGCGTTAATGAATTCTGTGTGTGTGTAGGAGGAGGCTCAGAGGGACAAAACCAACACAGTAAAGAACACCAGCAGTCCAGAGTTTAAAGAGACTTTCAGACTCAACATCAACCGCGGCCACAGGGCCTTTAAACGAGTCATACAATCCAAGGGAATCAAGTTTGAAATCATCCACAAGGGGTAAAACGCAGCAGCTTCAGTAGAAAAAAAGAGAATATGCTTCCATATCGGTGTGTTTTGTTTGTTTTTTTCCCCTCGTTGTAGCTTCTGTAAATTGTATTCTCTGCTGTGTTTACAGAGGCCTGTTTAAGAATGACAAAGTACTGGGAACTGCTCAGCTGAAGCTAGAAGGTCTAGAAAATCACTGTGAAATCAGGGAGATCTTAGAGGTGAGTGAGTGTTGATTACGCGTGCAAGCACCCACACATGTTCAGAGGCGGTTTAACTGCGCGCGTTTATGTTTTTTGTAGGTGATGGATGGACGTAAAACTACAGGCGGAAAGCTGGAGGTGAGGGTGAAGATCAGAGAGCCTCTGTCAGGCGTCGAGTTGCATCCAGTGAAGGAGAAGTGGCTGACTCTCGAACCAGTCTCCACGCCGACAGAGAAACAAAAGGAACGGGTGAGTAGGGTTATCAATTAAACTGACCCGCCTTTGTCTTTGGACTGAAACACGTCCAGCTCAAGCAGGGACGTAAACAGGACTTCCATGTGTGATGCAAACTGTGCAAAACACTGAGCCAAAGTGCTGCCTCACAAACTGGATGTTCATATGTGTCAGAGCAGAAGTGTGAAGTCAGCCAGTATAAACAAAGTGTTTTGGTGGCTGATCAAATAGTGTCTGAAACCACATCTATTTTAAAACTGGTGATCTACCAGTGACATCCCACTTCACGCAGCGATTTTAAGTCTTAGAGTGTACAAGATTTTAGCGTCTTCGCGAGTTCTCTTTATTCTTCACGCAATTACTTTATGAACTCAAGTGCTAGTGGTTCTTTGGCACAGAAGAAACTGGCAAACTCTTGAATCCATACTGCTGCATAATGTTTAGTCAATGAGTGGAAACACCGTGAAAGCCTTTCAGGAAAAATGGAGACTACAGCGATATCTTTATCTGAACAATTGTCGTGTTTCGCTGCTTTCTGAGAAACAGTTTTCACACGTGAATTTCACACAGTTTCAAAAGAATCACAGTTTAACTTTCTCACATGGAAAAAAACAGCAGGAAATTGGATTCTTTCAAAATATAGACCGTTCTATGCAGTTCAAGTCATAGAGCTGCCTGGGTAGAATTACAGAAGCCAGGATGCATGATCACATAAATGCAGCAGATACATGGAGTGGAAATGCAAGAAATATATTTGAAAAGCACAAAATAGGGGAAAAAATGGCTGTGATGGAAGTAGTTTATTAAACATGGCTCCACAAAAGAAGGAAAACAAACAAGAAGCATGTACTTTCCTCAAATTATTGCTTTTTGTTATTAGTTGTTTTACTTGCGTAATTTTTTTCAACCAGGTTGTTTGAGGTGCGACTGGCGCTGTTGTAATTACATTAGCTCATTGTGTCATCTTCTGCTGCGATGATTCAATGAGGCCTGACTTGAGTGTTAATACATTCGTGTGCTTTTTGTAAAGTATGTGCTGCATTTAAATAGAAATGACAAACAGCCTTGCTTTAAAACTCACTCAAACTCTCGGCTTTAGGCATCTTTTTTCCTTCTTCGTGTTTGGGTGTCTTACTGATGCTTACTGACTTTTTTTTAGTCAGCCAGGCTTCTTTACTGATTTTAATTCATTCTGTATCATTTTTTTAATTTTTTTTTAGGACAATTAATGTTTATTCTATTTTATTTGTGTACACTGCCTTGCGACCACTTATCTGTGAAAAGCAGTTTTAAATAAATGATGCTTATTTATTGATGTTTTGCACATATATTCTTACCCATGGTTTAAACTGCAATCTATTTCACGAACAATTACAAACAAAGTTGAAACAGAATAGTGACAAAGATTTGAATTTAAATACTCTGAGCATGCTGGAAAGCAAATCGTCAGTCCAGTAGCTGTACCAGCTTTTAGTCTTTCCCACTGTCAGTAGCCAGAAGAAGCAAAAAGCATTGCTCACATCGTAGCAGACTGCAGGCTTTTCACTCACATTAAGTG